TACCAGTACCTGTACCTATCAGATGGTTTAATTAATTTCTAACAGACAGACCGATCTTGAGATAAATAACCACTATATAGTGATCATCATGGGAACCCTTGGATATTCAAATTTTATCTTCATAAGATGTGTCGTTGAACCTGAGACCAGTTTTATAGAGACTAATCATCTTTTATTATTCATGTTTAAATTATTTGAAAGTATTTCAGATGAAAAATAGGCTATTCATTGTTTAAATAACAGAAAACAACTATTTTCGTGGCTGATACAACAAAATAATGAATTCTTTTTGTTTCTTATCGAAAATTTTATATTATCTGTTTCTGAGGAAAAAATCTCTAGATCGTGTGTGTCCAAATGTCATCCAGAGATAGAGAGTCGGTTGAATTACAAAAGTTTCAGCAAATTCAATCGTGATTCAGAATCCTTCGAGAAATCTTGGCTAGCTTCAGTTCTTTCTGAGTCATGAAAAACTGAAATTTTATATTTTAGTTTTCCTGGAATATCTCGGGAACTATTGATTGTATGAAAAGACGGTTTCAACATTGTGATGGTACTTTTTAATGATCTTTGGAATGGTTTCATCGATTTTTGAAAAAAAAAGGAAAGAAAAGAAAACAATAAGTTCATATCCCAGAAGTTTTATATTTTTAACAAAAACTGACAAAACCATTTGAAGTGTCACTAAAAAGTACAATTGTTTGGGGTAATTCTCCACCTGCACATGTCATGTTGTTCAAGTATCGAAGCTGGGCGATTGAGCAACCTTAGGATAACCATGGATAACTACTTAATGCACTCGCGCGAGAATCTCAGTGCTACAGCCGGATATGTTATCATAACTCATAACCTACTGTTGCATTAACTCGATATCGAAATGAGAACTTGTGGTACACAAAGTTATGTTAAAAATAAAATATATCATGACGTCATAAGGCTTGTCTCAGTATTTCACTAGTTGCCGAGGTAATTTATGATTCAAAAACTTCAATAACCCCGAAAGCCCAATTTTTTCACATGTTCCACTGTTGCTCTGGGGCGACGATATCAGCGCTCTTGTGACACAAAAGAGAATCATTAGAACAATTGCAAACGCATCACAAACAGTATCGGGCAGAACATTATTCAAAAAATTGAATATTTTGCCCCTTTTAGGTCTCTACATTCTGGAAGTTTTGTTGTATACATTCATAAAAATGATGAAGATTTCAAACAGAACCAATCATTCCATGATTAAAATACCCTTATCAAAAATGATTTTCACTTACCCAAGAAACGTTTATCTCTGCGATTAAACTCGTTCCAGTTTTTGGGGCTGAGACTATACAGGGTTACTGGTAATTCGGTAAATTCCTTTGGAGATGTTATAGGGAGTGAATTTAGATGAATTGTAAGTACAAAGTCGTTATCTTTATTTGTGAATTGTGGATTTTAACATTTTTGGTAAAACTGCCTTTGGGCAATAGCTATCTAACTGGGTACAAACGATAATATAGGTGATTGATACAGGTTTGTTATTTTGAATGAATATTAAAAACGTACTTGAAAAACTTCTAATAGTATTTACTTTTTTCAAATCCTGTTTAAATGGAGACCTCTATTACGATTATGTGTTCGGCAGCGTCTTCTTATTTCCGTCTTTGTTATTCTAGTTGTCAAAATTATCTTGTATGTGCAGGGCAGTGTTGGTTATACTTTGAATGTTGAATGAGCTCTTTCCGGGTATTTACTGATGGGGTTTCATGAACTAGCGCTTCCATATGACCCCACACCTGATAAAAAGGGGGGTTATAGGTCAGGGATTCGCGCTGGCCAACCTATTGGACCTGAAGTTCGAATCTAACGGTTCGAAAAACGTTCATCCAGGAACTGTCGAACGATCAGCCGATAATGCGCTGGACTACCGTCTTGTTGGAACATCATTCGTCTTCTGATGGCGAGAAAAACATCATTAAGAAGCCCCCTGTAGATCATACCGTCGAAGATATGTTCATACCATGTTCATGGATTTGAATGCCTCGAGCAAATGGACGAAAATAATAAGTATACCTATACATTATTGATCTATGCGAAACTAGAGTTATAAAACAGGTGTCTGAGGTCCCAGGTTATTGCAATCCTGTTCCACATTTATTTCTTGTTATTTCGAAGTAATTCATTGAAAATAATACTATGGAATCATTCACTATTGGGGCAGATTGATAGTGATTCGCTATTTCTGAACTATGTTATTTTTTTTAAGTTCGAAGTTTTTCAGGATCGAACGTGCGCGAAGCGCTCATTCGGACATTGTCTGTTGACTTGCTACCAAGAGTGCTAATTCCTACAACTTTCTCTTTTCCATCGGGACAAAATAATGAAATAAATGAAACGCAACACCTCCGAGGCTGTCACTCTCGACCATTTAATATATTTATTCAGACACAATAATAACCGAAACCAATCAATCACTCATAATTGAACCTCCTGCCGCCGTCGAACCTGAATCCGTAAGCCGCCGAATTTTTTGCGTCTACCAGAGCCGGGTTCCTGTGCTTGTAGAAGCTCCCGTGCGAATGTGCCGCTCTAGAGGACCCAGTTTCTTCGCCCCTGGGATAGAACGCCTCGAAAGTACCCCTAGGTGGCAGAACCGAGCTGATGTCTGAGTCCTCTGGATCGTAGGGTCGACAAGAGATCATCCACACCAGTATCAGTGTCAGCATCACCGTTATATGTGCGTTAAAAATCATCGTTCTACGCTTCTTTTGAACACTATTATAGGCAAATGACAGTGCTTGATGCTTTTTCGCGGAACTGATAGCCGACAACACACTTTCTCCTAGCTGTTTTCATGTTTGTGTGTGTGGGAAATCACGGTTTGAAATGAAACAGCCTCACCATATGATTATTATAATGTGTCCTCGATATTATTTATTCAGATCGTGTTGGTGTGCTTATTCTATGAGTACGCCACTGGAGAGAATAACTGGAAATTTGTATTGTTGGTTGCATGACATCCATCAGTAAAATCTGATCTTTGAATCTGTGCAACTGTGGTAGAACCTTAGACCATAGAGAGTAAAGGTAGAGCGAGACTAGACCACGAGAGGATCTCGCCAGTGCCTGGAAAAATATGACGGCTGCCGATAAATATGATGGCTCAGATGGCTCTGCAACTTGGTTGATGCTAATGCCGTTGATGGTAATCAGGTTTCAGGTTATGCAGGTGTCACTTCCTCTGTTTACATCATGCCATGAACAGAGATAACTATAGAAACAAAATCAACTACAGCAAGTTTAGCAACACATCTCACTGATATACATCAGTTTGTGTTCAACAATTTCTAAAACGGCGTTCACAACTAAAACTTTTTATGTTTAGCATATTACGTTCCATATTGTTTCACGAAAATATCATGAGCAAAAGCATTATTATAACTTTCATAATAGAATCCCAGGCAACCAGATGACGTTCCAGTGACATTTTTTTTACGTCACTTGAATGACCAAGGTGACGTCAGTAGTTGACGTCGCATTGACGTGATAATGACGTGAATAAGTCACAGCCCAATGACGTCATATTACTTACGTCGTATTGACGTCATTCACTCACCAAACTGTGACGTCCGACTGACGTCATAATGACGTCAAAATGACGTTGATACGTAAAAAATATTTCTTCATTACATGGTGTGATTAACACCACTAGCCTCTGATGACATTATATAATATTGATTATGCATTGTTGAGTCTGCTCAGTACGCATCTCCATCAGAATGCAATCAGTTACTCGTATTTGTATCAAAAATTATGTAGTTTGTGTCGGCGAGATGTAAGCGAACAAAGAATAGTTTGATAGCAATGGAAAGGGTGTTGGCGAATTTGGCTTCACTTTGTTGATTAACGTATATTGATGCATTCTTTGTCACCCAAAAAAAATCTAATTGGAAAATTATTGAAAAATTTCATAAATGACAAAGCTCACCAAATTGGTACGTCACACACCAATAACGTGATTTTTAGACGTCATAGATACGTCACTGCAACGGCATAAGATTGACGGTTTCAATATACCTGAACAATCATTTTTATATATGCATAGCTTGTTGTTTTCCGAGATATACAGTGTGGCAAAGTTTTTTAAAAATGAGTTTTTCTACTACTTTTCGGGTATATTAATAATTAGGATAAAACTTGCATGTTGATTCGCTTTCATGAGTTATACTTCTGTTTCATATGATTATATTTAAGTATCCATGGTTTAGAGAAGGTCTGGGAGAAATGGACGTCGGCAGGACGTCCCTGCAACGTCATGAAACTGACGTCTTCTTTTACCCATCTAAGTGACGTTCCCTCGACGTCGAAACTGGACGTGATTATCACGTCATAGAAAGTACGTCATAGTGACGTCATAAATTGATGTGTGACGTGTCTGACGAAAAATTAGGGACGTCACAGTGACGTGATCATTCGTCCTCTGGTTGCCTGGGATGTTCCATACATGTATTGTTGTATTCGAATCAGAACAGTAGTATTTTCCATATTTTATAACAATATTATTTGTCTATTTTTACTATTTTCACAGACAAACTTTTTGTTACTTAAAAAACTGAAATTTTTCAGCTTTTCGCTTTATTTCAATTACAGATTTTGCTTTACCAATGAGAATGCGAAACGTAAAAAGCAAAACGTGAAAATTTTTGTTGTGAACGCCGCTTAACGTTTACGTTTTTGGCATTGGAACTTCACGTATGACAAGTTGACGTTGACATGTTGACAACTCAAATCTCAAATCATTCGACAACATTCTGATATTTTGAGTTGAGTTTTGATTCCTTAGATCAATTCATTCATTTTTCAACTTTCAACATTTTCATTTATTATTTTGGTTTTCGGTCTTGTTGGTGGTTGTTGGATAATGTTGAGTGGATTGTGATGTGATAATCAAAGGATTTTGATAGCTATTGTTTTCAATTCATCACAATCATTTTCTTCATGAACACTGTTTGCTTGCCAATACCATGTCATATACCATGAACGTGTTAGGAAAGGTGTTTGTTCTTGGAATATTTATCCAGATAGAGTTGTGTATGGCAAGAATACATAATTTAGAAATAACAGTAAGACTTTTCATTCCATAATCTATATTCTAATAGGCACCTGATCTTCTGCCATCTGCTGCCAAGGATTATTAATGTGAAAGAAATTGGGGTTGTGTTTATGAGGGTATTGATATAATTATCCAATTTTTGTTACAGAGTGATGCCCGAAAATACATTGCTCTCAGTTCTTTTGGGTTTTATAATGGAGGGTACTTAGAAGTTGAGCTCACAAACTTCAGAACCAATCCTGAAAATGATTCCTACACAGTAAGTATTCCTACAGAATACCTACCTACTTTCTTTTTTCTTTCTCTTATTATACAAACTTCAAGCCACAGATTACCCCAAAGGTGGGTAGTAATAGGTCAGCAAAAATTGGAAAAGTTATTGTGAATAGTAAAAATAAAAAACACACTTTTTTGACAAAACCTGTGAAATAAATTTCTTCTTTGTGAATTTTAGCATCAACCAGAATTGTTCAGGAATTAGATCCTACATGAACCTCAATTATTCTTATTTGATCTCTGTTGCATACTAATTCAAATGGAATAAATTCAAATCTGGGTAATTTTGCACTTATCATGGTTTTTTCGAAATTTTTTTTTGGTACTCATGTATTTTTGTCTGAAAAACACGAATTTGATAATGAGAATGTGAACAAACCATTATTTATTAAGATATTTCACTATAAAGTTACAAATTTCACCATCTTTTCCGCCTGTCTTCTGGATCACATTTAGAACAATTTGCCCTTTTTTTTTCATAATTGGACAATTTATATATATCACACAATGTTGGACACATTTTTTTTATTATATGAGTCAACTAGAAATATGATTTTTTTGTGATTTATCCATGTTTAGTGAAAAGAAGAAAGAATATCACATTTGACATCTGGTATTTGGAATTTTTGGATTGCATATTATGGATTGAATGGCCTTCATCTGGTATGCTAGCTCCTCGGCTTGCTCACTAAATAGGAAAAACTCGCCATAAAAATCATATTTCCTGTTGAATTTTCTATCTCAAAATGTTTCAGTGAAGTACATCATGAGTATATAAAGTGTCCAATGACAAAATAATAAGAGCAAGTACCTGTAAATGCATCCAACACAAGGGGGAAAAGAAGTCAAAATTTCGAACTTTTTCTTGAAATATCTTGATAAATAGTGGTTTGTTCACATTTTCATTATCAAATTCGTATTTTTCAGACAAAAATACGTAAGTACCAAAAAAATTTTCGAAAAAAAACCCATCCCATGATAAGTGCAAAATCACCCAAATCTGAATTGTAATCCCTACACTTTGAAATGACTTATATCAATTTCATAGTTCGGCTTCAGTTTGGACAAAACTATCAATGATGGAGTCAATCCTTATCTTGAGAGTCATCAGGAGCGCTGTATTTTATTATCCTCCAAACAAAAAATTGATAATGACTTTGTCATCACCTTCAGGATGGATCTCAAAAACAAAAAGTGAGTATTCATCCATTAATTAAATAATGTATTTTATAGAATAGGTATTATGACATGTATTAAGTATACACAATTGAGCATACAATTTAATGATCTGGTGATCTTATTTTGTCTGATTCAGCTTACATTGAAATACATATTTTCATTCATTGTTTCCTAACAAAGTTCTATTCTTAAATTTTTATTTTCATGTAGATGTATTTAGTTCAAACAATATTTAAATTATCTGATTATAATTCCCTAAAAACAATATTTTATATTGTTATAATTAGGTTACTCATAGACTGTGAAGAAGGTCATAGTGTCCATATTTACCAATATACAGAAGAGATAATGAGAGATGCAACTGGACCATGTTTGAACAAGAAATTTGATATTGCATCAGCTTTCAAGGATGGGCATACATATTACAATACTTCAGTAAGTTCAGTTGTTTTTTCATCTGTTTGGTTGGAATTATATCAGTTTGGTGGTATGACACCCAGCTAAATGAATGTTTGAAATATATAAATTGAAACTCCTGTGAAAACTCCTAATGATATTTCTGCAAATGATATTCTTTGTAATTACACTGAAGCTAGAGTTTTGTGAGGAATTATTTTTATTTAGTCCACAGTTGTATGAAAATAGAGGATTAAAATTATATTTGTTCTATGATATATATAATGATAGTTAAACACTACAAAATACATATTTTAATCCTCTTTTTCTATACTTTCAACCTGTAGAATAAATAAAAAAAAATGCAGATTCCTTCATGTTTTGTATTCCTCACAAAACTTTGGCTTCAATGTAATTCCACAAAAAGTATATCATTTGCAGAAATATCATTAGGAATTTTCCCAGGAGTTTCAATTTATATATTTCAAAAATTCATTTAGCTGGGTTCAAGGCTGGGTTTAATACCAAATTATATAATAGGATTGACCAATCATGACCAGAATTGCTCTGAAAAAGTATCCAAAATACCAATATGTTCATGTACTAATGAAATATATAGAGTGGATTCAATCAAATATCTTGGTATATACATTGACCAAAACTTGAATTGGAACCATCATGATCCAGAACTAACTAAGAAGTACTCTTCCAAAGTTCAGACTTTTGTGAAATATTGTTGATGGACATTTAATTATTATGTTTTATCATACTCTCTTCCAATCTATATTGTCTTATGGAATTATTGGATGGGGTGGTATGTATGAAACTCATCTTGAACCTTTATTATGTATCCAAAAATATGTCTTGAAAATAATATTTCCTAAATCATTTGATTATCCATCAGCCTTGTTATTTATAAAAAATAACATATTGAATGTTTGGGAACATTCTAGTTTATAATGAAATCCCATCAAAAATAAAAAGTCTAAATATTATAACTTGAAAAAAAGGTTTAAGGCTGGTTTATAGAAAATGCAAAAAAATCAATGATATTTTTTAATCAACTCTTTTTCCATTCATTCTAGTCTGTTATGTATCTTGATTGATCATATATATCTTGATTATTTCTATTCAATTTTGGTATTTCCATAGTGAAAAAAATTATTTGTATACATGTAATAATTTAGCTCTTTCACGCACAGGTCACTAACCTATGTGAATGAGATACAATGCGAAATATATTTGTGTGACTAATATTTAATCAAAATCTGTATATTTTACTTGATTTGATAAATGAATAAATAAACCCATTCAAAATTAACATACCCAGGAACATACCCTTTACAAATTGCTGAATGCTCATTTCTGGCAACTAGACTTTATATTTTTATTTAATATTTACATCCATTCAAAATTACCTCACCCAGGATCATACCCTTTAGAAGTTGCTGAAAATACATGTTTGGCAACTAAAGCTTATTGTCCAATTTCAGTCACAAAGTATAGAGTTGATTTCACAAAGTTTCAATTGTGATTCAAATTAGACAATTTGATTTAAAAAATATCAGATGTTTTTCAGAATTAGTAAATCAATTACAAAATGTATTAAATATACATGGTGTCTCATAAGTCATGGATCAGGAAAAGTGGGGTGGTAGTGGGGGTGATTTCCAATCAAACTAACCAGACATATGTGATTATCCAATCGTTGATAGTGCTAAAGTAATTAATTTTCCAAATCCATGTATATGCTGCATAACCCTGTTTTTCTGTTGATTTTTAACACTAACAAGATGATTCACCTCCATGTGAAATATTGAAGCGGAATTTGGGCTATACTCCCCTAATCTATATGCAAGTTGCTGAACTGTCTTGAAATAACATTGACATTCTGAAGGCTTTGAAATAAGTAAAAATATTTTGATCCGGATCTGATGATGACATTTTTCCCCGCACTAAACATCTAAAAATAACTACTTTTTCAAATAAATGCAAAAAGCTCAAAGTCATTTCCACACAGTGTTCATAAACTGAACAACAATGGTAGATTTCGGGAGAAAAACAACTACTTTCCTGGCTAATGCCACGCAGGATATTGAATTACATCCTCCCGAAATCTATGCATCCACTCTATAAACGAACACTGATACAAGTGATTCTTTCCTGAATGCTTATTGGTTTCGATTAAGCAGGCCGCTAGACAACCACAGACCGGTTTCGAGCTCTTTGACTCTCATCAGTGCAGTGTAGTCTCCAGCCAGCAGTCCTAAGACCGCCGACTCAGCGAAGCCTAGCGAAACAAAAATCAATTTGGCATTTTATCCACCCCGAGGCGTCTTTCATCGACAAAATGAAAGTAACGCCATCTGAGTAGAACAGAGGAAAGAATCACTCCAAAACTGAAAAGAATCACTTGTATCAGTATTCGTTTATACGAGTCGATGCATAGATTTCGGGAGGATGTAATTCAATATCCTGCGTGGCATTAGCCAGGGAAGTAGTTGTTTTTCTCCCGAAATCTACCATTGTTGTTCAGTTTATGAACACTGTGTGGAAATGACTTTGAGCTTTTTGCATTTATTTAACATATCATTCCACTTTGAGCATTGTGGCTATTTCGTAGTTGGAACTATTTTTTTGTTTTTCAAGAACTTTATTCTGATAATGCCAGAGAAAAACAACATATTATTATATCAGTATTACAGGATATCCCTTTTCATGGGAACCAGAACAAAAAAAAAATAAAGGCAAGTTCAATGATGCAGTATCTGATGAAAGGTTTATCCAAAGCAGCACCTGAGTGCTGGTCTCGGAAATAGAAAAACAATGGGCGTGTACACCTCAGTAGAACTTTTAACTCAAACCATGTTTATAATGATCCTTTTATACATAAATAATGATTGACGACATAATTCGATCGAAAAATTAACTGGGATGTTCTATTTTTGGACATAAATAATAGTACCTTCTGAAAACGGACCCTCTTATGATGTAGAAACCCCATCTCGCCATAGTTGAAAGAAAATACCAAACGCCCGACGGAGACTGAGACAACTGATATATTAATTCTTTCAACTGTGATCTCGCGCTAATTCACTCTGTCAGAAATCATGTATCATTCATCTCTGTCTGGAATAGTCTTGTATTGTATTAGGGTTTTGACGGCACATCATCGTCTCGTTTTCAGAGGTCCGAAAAATCGGGTATTTCAATAATTTTTTATAGAACGTATGGAGCTCACAGCAAGAAACGGTTTGCGGTGGTGAGCTATTTTGGGTGAGGTCTATCGAATTATGAAATACAAAATTTTTGTGATATAAGCCCATTACAACATATACATTTACAATTTCAGATTGATCATGGAATGAATAACAACAGGAAGTATAATAACAATACAATAACAATACAACTCAACTCTCCCTAATCTTTGCAACAAAAAAAATATACAAAAAATATATATAGATAAATAAATTGAACCATCACACTGACTGATTATGTGGGTGTTAATTCAAGTTTGTGTGTGTAGAATTTCTTTATTTGATTCTTAAAATTGCGAATATCTGGGCTGTCTGTAATTTCTTTTGAAAGAGTATAGTAAGTCTTCATGCATTGACTGGATGTTTAGGCCCAATCCTGTAATTACCAAGATGGTGTGCTTACGCGCATATCATATGACGTCATCTGGAATACCAATGACAGCTGCTAGTCAAAGACAGATACAGTTCCCATAGGCGTGAATAAATGATGAATTCAATTGAGTTCATTTGAAATATCAATGAGTTTCTCGATCTGTCTGGAACCAATTCCATTCATATAAATAGGTACCTATTCCTTCAAATTTATTTTTTCATTGATATTGAAATTTGTTATCTTGCGGTTAATCACAATTGCAAATAGCATGTTTATAATGATCCTTTTATACATAAATAATGATTGAGGACATAATTCGTCGAAAAATTAACTGGAATGTTTTATTTTTGGACATAAATAATAGTACCATCTGAAAACGGACCCTCTTATGATGTAGAAACCTCATCTCGCCATAGTTAAAAGAAAATACCAAACGCCCGACGGAAACTGAGGCAACTGATATATTAATTCTTTCAACTGTGATTTCGCGCTAATTCACTCTGTCAGAAATCATGTATCATTCATCTCTGTCTGGAATAGTCTTGTTTCAGTATTAGGGTTTTGACGTCACATCATCGCCTCGTTTTCAGAGGTCTGAAAAATCGGGGATTTCAATATTTTTTTGTGAAACGTAGGGACCTCACAGCAAGAAACGGTTTGCGGTGATTAGCTAGTTTGGGCGAGTTCTATCGAATTATGAAATAAAATTTTGTGATATAAGCCCATTACCTATATGTATATTAAATTTGTAAATGTTTTCTGTTAGCTTGTACAGTTTAGGTAGATAAAATCAGAACTGAGTAGTCTTAGGCATTAGTTTATTTACTTATGTTCATGTATTATTAATGTAATTTTTTCGGTGATGGGGGTATCCCGTAAATAAATAGATAAACAAAATATTAGTACGCATAGGTTTTGAGAAGACTTTGCGTTCTGTATTACCGATTTTTACAATTCCCTACAAAAAGTCGTTTAGCCTGCCGCTCATAGATACCACCACTTGCCGGATAGAATTCTGGCTTCATTGCTCTGCAAGGATGGTTCATCTTGTGAGTGTAAATAATCAAGAGTGAAACTAAAGTACAGTCGTCTTCAGAAAACATGTCGCACATGGAAGATGATAGCATTTTTAACACGTTGACTACCAAGCTTGATTTCAACATTCTGACCCAGGGTACCATATGTATCACCGGTGATGCTTTTTCATAGTTCACTTCTTTACTTTATGTATCACCAGTGATAATGAACCCATATTATTTGAATGCTTGTAGAGAAGCACAGTGTATAAACGAAGGAATTTGATTGTGGGTATGGTACAGGTGTGAACCAAATAATATCGAGTTGAAGTGGGTATCACCAGTGATACACATAGATCTGGAAAATGCCTAAAGAAATTGACTGGATTATTCTGATTATACTCTCTTGTCAATTTTTTATTGAAATTGTTACACTCATAAGTAAAAAATAATCATATCTCATAATCGGAGAGAAAACAACAAAATATAAGGAGTTCCCTACAATCATATGATGAAATGGTTCATTTATGTACCATGTGAATCACCGCTGATCTTTCAGCAAACTGTCGAGATGAAGGCATCTGCTTCAAAATACAATATAGCGACATCTTGTAGCGAAAGGCTACGTTTTGAGTTTGATTCTTCACTTGGTACAGAGAGGGATTATGCGATTTTTCACGGTGGTCTGTAGAGCAAGTAAGAGTGTGTATCACATGAGACTCATATGTTAGCCAACGTGTTAATAACACTTACAATAAGAGCGCCGATACCGTACAACCGCGACATGATATCTGAAGACGACTGTACGTCCTGTGTTTATCCGCAGTTTGTGATGGCAGTGAGGACCATCCAAGAAGAAGGCCTCTACAACCTCTTCTTCCACAGCTGCCCTAACTACAACTCAAATACAGAAACCCTGATAGACTTTGACATAAAAATAGTCGAGCACAATCCCAGCAGCTACCTATCAGCAGGCGACATGCCTCTACCGGCTCTCTACTGCATGATGTCGATCCTCTTCCTTCTATCTGGAATGTTCTGGGTGTTTCTGCTGAAACAATCCAAACACCCTGTTTTCAAAATCCACTACATGATGGCGGTGCTGGTTTTCTTAAAGGCCATCTCGCTGGCTTTCCACGGGGTCAATTACCACTACATAGAGAACCTTGGAGTGCACCTAGCCACATGGGCTATTCTTTTCTACATAGCGCATCTGCTGAAGGGGGCGCTGTTGTTCGTTGTTATCGTGCTTGTTGGGACTGGTTGGACTTTCATCAAGCATGTTCTGACCCCAAGGGACAAGAAGCTGTTCATGGCTGTTATTCCACTGCAGGTGTTGGCTAATGCTGCTGAGATAATTCTGGAGGAGAGTGAAGAGGGGGCCAGAGAGTATCTGGCTTGGAAGAACTTTGTAATATTGGTGGATTTGCTGTGCTGCGGATGCATCTTGTTTCCGGTCGTGTGGTCCATCAGACATTTGCAGGTGAGGAGAGCGGAGAGCTGAAAAAACTCACCGTGACAATAAATTACAATTAAAAAGACTAGATAGTGGAACTTAAAACTAATAACAAGGGGAATAAACGACACCAGAATCAAGGGCAATATAAAGAAAATAAATGACATTAATATAATTGACAGGAAAACGTAAAGTAATGACACAGACATAGTGGGATGAATGACGGAGATGAATGAAAACTTAAATAGATGAAAGTTAATGAATGTTAATTCTGATGCCCTTCTAGTTAAGCTGGCTGCACGAGATGTTCTGCCAGATGACATTATGACATCAAAATGAATTGAGTACATTAAGATAAATGACAATTTGAATGACAGGAAAATGATAGTAATGGAACAAACATAGTGGGATGAATGAGGAAGAGGAATGAATGAATGACAATTATAAAGATATGACAGATGAATAGGTGGTAGTTGCCTGCAAAATAATGTGATATCTGTACTAGGAATGAATGACAGTGGAATAAATGGCAGCTAATGAAATAGTTGACGGTGGAATGAATAACAGTGGAAATAATGAAGACGTCGAATGAAAACAGGGAAATAAATGGCATTAAGATGAAATACAGAAAAATAAATGATAACAATATGAATGCACGGAATTAATGACAGTGAAATGAATGATAGTTGAATGGAAGTTAATGATATAGACATCCAGAACGAATGACAGTGAAATGAATGAGCATGAAATTGATGTCAGTTAAATTGATATTAGTTGAATGAAACAATGAAGATAGATGCCAATAATGAATTAGTCAGCCTATATAACAGTGGATTCAATTCAAAATGAATTCCGGTGGAATAAATGATACTAGAATGTAAGAGAAACAAATGAATGGCAGGAAAAACTTAGTCATATTGGTCGACTTGCTGCGTTGTAGGGAGCTGTTTCTTGTTTCTTCTTACCTACCCTTTTACTCTTATCCTTCGATCTAGGAAGCCTCGCAGACCGACGGTAAAGCGGCCACCAATCTGCGCAAACTCAAACTCTTCCGTCACTTCTACGTCATGATCGTCTGCTACATCTACTCGACAAGGATCATCGTGTATTTGCTGAAGATCACGGTGCCTTTCCAGTTCGGCTGGCTGCACGAGATGTTCCGCGAGATGGCGACATACGTGTTTTTCGTACTCACCGCCTACAAGTTCCGGCCGGCGTCGCAGAATCCTTACTTTGCGTTGAGTGATGATGAGGACGACGAGGTCGATCAAGTGTGAGTATAATAATATAATAATATAAGTTTATTCAAAGACGTTTACCAAATATACATTGTAATATACAGATAGGTATTTTGAATAAACTGGGAAAAACCTTACGAAGTAAACCTTGTAGTAAGCATAAAAAACAACTGTACATAGATCATCAAATATTTAACAATATCAAATTGTCAGAAGGGAAAAATTGTCTCATTAAAAAATGAGATATAATTCGCATAATTATTTATATTTATACAGTGTGTCCCACTTACCATGCTCACCATGGGTATCTTTTTAACGGTGAGAGATACGAGGTCGGTTAAATGACACCAAATGTGGAGTTTGTCAAGGCCAACTATAATGTGAAAAAATATTTTGATAAAATCTATTCGTTTTTGTTTAATAAGCAAAAAACAGATTTTGATCATTTTCATGTCTCCTCCATAACTTCTCTATTTGTTGAAATATTCAAATAGGAATTTCACATTCTCATGGCAGCTTCTCGAAGTGATTTCGAAAAAAATATGAAATTTATGCCAACTCTTCTAGAATTTGAGATATCAGCACCAACTTCAGTTTTTCAAATGTAGGACATAGCTCACTATGACTTAGTTACAAATAATGTTTCTTTCTCACAGATAATATGTGGCAGTAATAGTTTTGTGTTGATAACAACGGCGTAATTTATGCAGAAACAAATTTATTTGGATGACGCCATCTTGAATTTATAAATTTTAACAAAAAAATCATGATCTCCGACCTCAAAAATCCCCACTTACCAATTTTGAATGAAATCGGACCAAATCTTGTTTGCCATCAATTAAAAAAAAAAGACTGCTGCAAGATGGCGGACAAGATTTGGTCCGATTCCATTCAAAATTGGTAAGTGGGGGTTTTTTGAGATCGGAGATCATGATTTTTTTTGTTGAAATTTATAAATTCAAGATGGCGGCTTCCAAATAATTTTTTGTTTCTGTATAAATGGCGATAACTCCGTTGTTATCAACACAAAACTATTACTGAGACATATCATCTGTAAGAGAAAAAAAAGTTATTTGCAACTAAATCATAGTGAGCTATGACCTACATTTGGAAAACTAAAGTTGGTGCTGATATCTCAAATTCTAGAAGAGTTGGTATAAATTCCATATTTTTTTCGAAATCACTTTGAAAAACTGCCATGAGAATGGGAAATTCCTATTTGAATATTTCAACAAATAGAGAAGTTACGGAGGAGACATGAAAATGATCAAAATCTGTTTTTTGCTTATTAAACAAAAACGAATAGATTTTATCAAAATCTGTTTTTTTCGTATTTAACAAAAACGAATAGATTTTATCAAAATATTTTTCACATTATAGTTGGCCTTGACAAACTCCACATTTGATGTCATTCAACCGACCTCGTATCTCTCACCGTTAAAAAGATACCCATGGTGAGCATGGTGAGTGGGACACACTGTATATACTTAATTATTCACAATTATTATTTTGATGTTTCTAATTACATTATTGAATGTATACGGGGAGTTGCAAGCTGTTTTCAGACATAGTAATTATACCAGGTGTCAACAAAATCATCGGCTAGGGCGTCATTCAGTTGTTTTTTTGTCAGACTCTTGACATTCGGATCGAAGATATACAGGGTGGCCCAAATTTTGTTGTCATACTATTGCTGTCTCTCTGAAAAGAATAGAGATAAAACATTGGTTGAATTGAACAAAAGTTGAACTTACAGGGTGGTTCAAGATTCAGCATTCTGATCACTCTTGTATCTGTTCCAATTAAATATCAGTAGATAGTAAATCAAAAGTTGGGATAGGGACAAGAAAGCCGTTTTGACCAATAATGAATAGTTTCGACGCAAAAAAAACCTAAAGTTGAAAAATCTGGATTTTGAACACCCTATATCTCTGTAATCATTCTCGCTAGACCCCAAGTGTGATGCAATGATGAAATCAGCTCACAAAGGGGAATGCGAAAATACAATGAAATACAGGGTGTCCCATAAGAAAAAGTATTACTTCAATACGCCACGCATTTCTGAGTAACCCTGTATAAAGCGAAATAATTTGGATATGTGCTGCTCATGATCCTAGATCATCTCTGAAATTTTTATTCATCTATCTCAAATAGTAAAGCAGTTATCTCACTTTGCCACACTAATGACTCACCCTGTATATTTTTTGTGTTAGTCTTCTTCATAGATTTAATAATATGTACTTGCTCTGTATAATAAATAAATAAATAAGACAAACAAGGAACGTTATTAATATGAATAATTCCCTAAAAAATGACCTCGAGTATCAATAATTAAAGTTTGATCACCTTGTATACCTATCTGTATTATTTTCTAGCCTCACCGAATCTGGGGCAACCGAAGGTCTGAAGAAAGTCAACTCTCGGATAGTGAAAGTGCCTCTCCATCAACAGAATCTAACAGAGGTGACAGAAGAAGAAAAGGATGCTCTATTAGGGCAAAGAGAAAATAGCCACGAGTATGATTAATCTGCACACCGCCCTGTAGGTCTAATTTATGATCCTCGATAATATTATCCTCTATCGTTTGTTTTGAGTGTTCTTATTTAAAATTGACCATACTTTCTTGGTGAAAATTATTAGATCAAGAACCGGTAAACTGTTGTTTAATGAAATTTAGAGCAGTGAGCTTCTTTTTCAGATAACTATGAGACAATGGGGAAGTTTCCTTTAGATGAATTTTCATAAAATAAGTTCGGAACTCTGCAGTTTCATGTCCACGCTGTACAGAATGGTGACCGATAAAGTCCAAGTCGTTTTCATTTTCAAATTAAAGCAATTTCTAATTTTCGGGGCGGCAAATTGTGACGTACATTCTGATTCTAGTCTGAAAATAGCTGATGATGAAGAATATAGCTAGCGAATAGCTCACGAATGAAAAAAATTGAAAACTGGTGAACAAAAACATACATAACCACAAATGCACTCGGAGCAGGAATGCAGAAGGTGGTTGGCTTCATTCTGACAGGCTATGGTTTTGTTATTTATGCATTGAAATATCTGGAATAAAGGTCGATCCTAAACGAAAATATCATTGAATCAATGAATCACTATCGGCTACATTCAATGATACTATCCTTCCTAATTTACTGCCATCGGTCAGAACAGAATGAAGCCTCCTTCCTCTTGTAGTGCCTGTCAGTATTTTGAGTGGTGTGACCAGACTCGAAGTATTAGGCGCTGTTGCATGATATAATCTGCTTCTTTCCTAGATAATAGATCATAAATACTATCGCAAAATATCATAATTTATCTTCATTAGTAATCAACTTCTTTCAGCCAATGAGAGATTGATGGAAATTATCCATAATACTTGACAAAGTAGGATTGAAGAACTTATTATATTCCATTGCTGTTATGATATAGTTATCATGCATTCAAAGAACAATTTCCGGAAATCTAGACATATTGATGATGTCGACAACGTCGTTCTGGCACAGGGAATCCTATTTTAACTCCGTTAGAATGTGGATTTTCAGAAAGTACGGCATGGGAATGGAGGAGGAGCCAAATTCCCCTTTTATTTTTTTTTTCTGAAGTGAAATTTGATTTTACGAGATAAAATATATATACAGTGTCATTCATAAAGTCGGCATTATATGGGAAAAACTTTTATTAATTACTTATTTTGGAATTCGAGTTGGACGTTAAGTTTTGCTTCAAAAAAGATGAAAAATGGCCTACTCAATCGGGGTCACGTGACTTTCGCTACATGTCAAAAGTGACATTTTTTCAAATTAATCGCTGAAAGTAGGCTTATTTGTTCGAATATCGAAAAAGTTCACTTGAAAAAGTTGTTTCTATTCCAATTTTACACATGCTTCTCGAATTTGATATTTCTATTGCAACTTTTAGATTTTGATTTTTTTTTAAATTTTTCGAAATTTATGTAATAGGTATTTCAAGAATTGTTAATTCCACGAAACTACTTCATACTAGTAGCTTTTTCATGCTACTTACTTCCAATTACTTACTGAATATATACTGGTCTGAATTTTATTCAGATTAGATTGGATTAGATCGTGAATATAACGAATTATCTATGGGAATTTTATAAATATGAAAATATTTTTATAGAAAGTCAGAATAAAAAATAGCTAGAAGAAATGGCTAAATGGCTAGTTGCAATTGTTAGTAGCTAGATGAGTTCTAGTGCTATTCATTTTTAAAGCATGCCATCACATTGTGCTATTTCACAATGCACAAAAAAATGCAGCGTCAGATGAAGAAATAAGATTTTTAAGGTTATTTGTGATCTCAAAGTTGGTACTGTAGGCACTCACATAGTTTTCATTTTGAAAATATGTCATTGCTCTTTAGAGACTACTGATATGAACTAAAAGTGAAAATATATCTACGTACAGGGTGATTCAGCATAAATGTCCCCCCCTCCAGCCCACTTATTTTTGAACCGATTTAAAAATTTGAACAATAATCTGAAATGATTTTTCAGAATTTTTTTTTTCCGTCGAATCAGAAAATACAGAGTGCTCGGAACAAACGATTTACAGAGTACTACTTGATTTTTTCGAATGGAACTCCCTGTATTCCATTATATTTTCAGATTCTTCCTGAAGAGCTGATTTCATCAATGCATCACACTTGGAGTCTAGCGGGAATGTTTACAGAGATATAGGGTGTTCAGAATCGAGATTTTTCAAACTTTAGGATTTTTTTCTGTCGAGACTATTCATCATTGGTCAAAACGGTTTTCATGTCCATATCTCAACTTTTGATTTACTATCTAGTGACATTTAACTGGAACATTTACAGGGTGGTTCAAGATTCAGAATTCTGATCAACCTGTATCTGTTCCAATTATTAAATGTCAGTAGATAGTGAATCAAAAGTTGTTGTACGGACATGAGAGCCGTTTTGACCGATAATGAATAGTTTCGTCACAAAAAAATCCTAATGTTGAAAAATCTTGATTTTGAACACCCTATATCTCTGTAATCATTCCCGCTTGATCCCGAGTGTGATACATCGATCAAAACAGCTCTTCAGGGAGAATCTGAAAATAAAATGGAAAATAAGGTGTTTCATTTAAAAAAATCAAATAGTACCCTGTAGATTCTTTTGTTCCGAGCACCCTGTATCTTCTGATGTAGCAGAAAAAAACTTTATCGAAAATCATTTGAGATGATATTTCAAATTTTGAAATCGGTTCAAAAATGAGCCAGAGGGGGGGACATTTATGGTGAATCACCCTGTACAACACACACGATCATATTATTTAGTCAGCATGTCAGACTAGTTCTCCCGAATGATCTCACGAATGGAAGCTCCTTGCCTTCGTTTAGCAAATTCACAAGTCTTTTCATTAACTCCTATTGCAGATGGAAATCACAAAATTTCAAAATGAAAACCATGTGAGTGACTACAGTACTTGTAGATCACAATTTATCTACTTGAAAAATCTTTTTCCTACTACCAACTGAGTATGAAAGCAGCATATGCTATATGCTGTGTTGTCGGCTCAGAAAAGCTCAGAAATTATCTCATATCACCATAGCAATGCGAAAGTGAAAACGAACAGTGTGGAAATATTCCCGCACGCTCACGTTATATTTGTTTATATAATGTATGCATGATTAAAATACTGTATTATCATATTTTGATACTCGTATTCTATCAATGTATATACATTCATTTTCATTAGAGTTTAAATTCTGCCTCATGAGAACTAATAAAAGTTTAAAGGTGGATTCATGCAACATCAACTAAATTATGATGAATTTAAGATTTAAACGATTTCAAATTAAAAATATATATGGGTGTTCATGCAATAACCTTTCACCAGCTGTTGAATCTTTTTATAGTGCAGCTAGTTATTATTTGATGCATGTGCTGTTGTGAATTATGGAAGAAGTCAATTTCTTAGTTGAACGTTGGCCATATTTCTTAGTTATAATTTCAGTTTTAATTTTAAAGTCTCTCGCATGAGCACCTACATTACATTTCGTAGTTTTATATTATTGGTTTTTGTTTAAAATGCATTCTAGTATTACATTTTGCTTGCATGAATTCACCTTAATTTTCGGTATTTCTCATTTTGTCATAATCTGCGAGAATAACCTCATTGCTGTCAATAGTGTGAACAGAGTTGCCAACAGCCAATTTTTAAATCGACTAGATAATCCCTGAAAATATGCTAAAACGTGGCTAAAAAGGAAAGCGCACCGCAGGCTAAAAATTGTTTAGCAATTTTTTGGGTAATTAGCCATTTTTGCAATATTTTTAGCAAAAACAAGAAATTAACTGAAGACTCTAGTAGTATTGACATTGACGTATGACGTGCCAATTTGTCAAAATGCACAAAGCATGGAGTACATATATACTGGTCTGAATTTGATTCAGATTAGATTGGATTAGATCGTGAATATAACGAATTATCTATGTCTATGTCTAAATATCTCTCATACAACAAAATATCATGTTGATCTTGAAGACTTGGCAACAATGTGCTGAATGCTGAGAACTGACAAGGCTCCACCCACAATTCGTGATACCGTATTGTCACGTTTACCCTCAAATGTCCTGTGTGAAATAATATAATAATATTATAATATTATTATTAACCCAAATGTATTATAAGCAATAAGCCACAACAGATGAGGGAATATTTTGGGACAATTAACATTGGAGAATTAATATCCTTGAATCATCTTTGAACCAGTACCGTCATCTGAGTATATATGAAACGATTTTTTAACATTTCCATGATTATTTCCGTTCTGGAAAATCGAAACGAATCAAAATATTCGTGGTTATTTGAAGGACATACAAAGGTATATTCCTCATGGATTTCTGATGTTTTTGTATAGGTCCTTCCATTTTTTTTTTGAATTTTTGGCGTTTCATATAACCCTTGGTCACGGGTTATATGAAACAATATCATTTTCGCTTCATATCCTCGTGAAAAATTGGAATTGTGTTATATTAGACTTTGTGATGGGTTATATGGAACAAGTGGGATGTTTTAAAAAATTTCAAAAAAAAACAGCATTGAAATAACTGAAATAGAAAATAATACAGAGGAAATACAAAACATCATTTTATTGTTTCATTTTAAAATTCTAGGTATGAAAAATATCATTAAACTAAAAAAAAAAGAAATGAGATCTTTGTCACTATTTAACATATTAAATCAGGTCACCACTATATGTGTGAATTCCTCTGCACACTATAGGTTGCGAAACAATGAAATGTATGTCAATCACCTCAACTTGTGACATGTCAGTAAAAGGGGGAAAAATCAACAAGTTTTTTTTTGTCTCTATAATTCCTCAAAAAACTAATATTGATAATATTTTCATCAATGGAAATAATTTTCGCAAGAAATTTTATGGATATGTTTTCGTGGCATGTTGCATTTCATATAACCCTGCAAAAACGAGATTTTTTTGTTTCATACTTTTTCCCGACGAGGTTTAATGATTCTAATCATG